AACCTCACACCCGCCACTTCCCGTGTCATCCTCAAGGTGTCAGAAATACCGGGTTGCCGGGATGGGTATTTTACAAACAATCGCACCTTGCTCTATGACCGGCACAATTGGCACACCTGCGGCACACTGACAAAAAAGATGACACAAGATTGGTGTGCGGAGTGACCTACCCCTTGGCCCTTCTACATACCTATCTACTAGATGTGTTCCGAAAAGAAATGAACCTTCTCTGAAGTTTTTGGAATTTACTTCGAATCCTCGTAACTTTCATTAGGTTCCTACAATTTTCTTTAAGTTAATGGGTTTGCTCTGAAGTTCTAGAAGCTTCCCTGAAGGTTTCGGAACCTCGCATAAGTTTTCAAAATTCTCCTGATGGTGTTCTTGGAACTGTCCTGAAATTAATTGAATTGTTTTATAGATCCCTGGAGTTTTCTGGACTTTCGTGAATTTCTTGGAACTACTGCGATGTTTCTGTAACTTTTCTGAAGTTCTCTCACTACTTTCCTAAAATTAGTGGAACTGTCCTAAACTTTTCTAAATTTTTTTGATATTCATGGAACATTCTGCTCTGAAGTTCACAGAACTGCGCCAACTTTTACGAAACTTCCTCTGAACTTCCCTGATTATTCCTGGCCTTCCCTAAATTTCAAGGAGTCCAAACCCAAGTAACCAAAAGTTCTGATAAAAGGCTATTTGTGGTTTAAGGGGAAGTTCACCGCTGCGAAAAAAAATAATTACGTTTTGGTTTTTCTAAAACTATTGAAAAAAGGTATCAAAAATCTAAAAAAAGCTCATTTTTTCTAATTTTTTAAAGAAATATCACGTGCAAAAACATTTTTTATAAGTCATTATGGCATAAAGTTGAACTCAAAAAACCACAAAACATCGACTTTTCGGTTTTTCTGAGAGTCCAATTTTTATTATATAAATATTTTTACATGTAATTTTTGAAAAAAATCTAAGGAAGAATATGATTTTCTTGGATTTTTGATATTTTTTCCCAATATTTTTAGAAAAATAAAAACGTACAGAAAATATTTTTTTTATTTTCGGGCCGGTAAGCTTCCCTTAAGCAGCTTGTTCGAAGGTAGTCTATAGAATTATAAGCAGCTTCATTTTAAGTCGTTATAAGAACTTGAAAGTTCCGGTAGCACAATTGAAGAGCATTCTAAGCAGCTTCTGGCGGAGCTTGAACGGAACTTTTAGAGAATAAATTTAAAAAGGTTTTTGTCCTCTACACCAATTTTATATTTGTTCGCACTTTTATGAAAGTTAATTCTAAAGGCAGGTATGAACGTTTATTGATTTATCAGCATTAGTAGTAGTATTGGAGCTGATTGAAGAAATTAAACCCAGTCCTCCTGCGTGAAAGCTCCAGCACGAACCGCTACGTCATCTGAAATATATTAGAGTAAGCTGTTGTCCCGCCTACTGTTGGAGTTTTCAGTACCAGCTGACTGACTTGAATACGAAACATAACACCTTGATGAATTTTAAACTGGTGTTTGCCCGCCTTGTATTCCAGCACACTTTTGGCGCAGTGGTTAGCGTTCGTAGATCGCATGTCAAATACTACACGGGTTCAAATCCAGGAAATTGCTCTTTTCTTTTTTATGTTTGGATGGAATATTGATGCACTGCATAAACATAAGAATTATGATTTATTTGAGTCACTGATCATTTCATATTTACGTACATTAAATTTTGTTACTAATAAAGACTAGTGCGGATTGGTTCATGTTGGCTATGATGGACCTTTTGAGAAACTTTCAAGTTGCTAAGAAGTTCCGCAGGGAACTTTTAAGATTCTTTAAAGTTGATAAGTAGTTCCACTGGGAACTTGTTCGGAACTTTGTTGTGGCCATGTTTTCAGCCTTGCCTGAAGTTCCTAAGAAATGCTTAGGGATGCTTTTTGGATTTTTTTTGAACTTCAAGTTGCTAGGAGTACGCATCGAAACTATATGGAACTTGAAAGTGGGTTTTATCGTTAAATGCGGAACTTTTGGTTACTTGGGTAGATAGTTCTGTAGGAACTATATTCGAACTTTATGGAACTTGAAAGTTCTGTTAGAACTTTATTTGAACTTTATGGAACTTGAAAGTGAGTTTTATCGTTGAATGCGGAACTTTTGGTTACTTGGGATAATTCCCTAATGTATTATGGTGCAACCTGGATAAGAAGACCATAACAGGTCTTACCATTTCTTTTTTGATACTTGAAACTGATTTAGTGACCTGTTTTACATGAATCACTTCACTTTGAAAGCATCAAACCTTTAAGTAAAAGTATGGCCGCATGTCAAAAGTTGTTCCAATCGAACCGTCAAAATGCACTGCTTTGCTCGATTTGAACAACTTTTTTTCATTTTTGTGGTGACAGTCGTCCATACTTTTACTAAAGGGTGATACGGTCAAAATTTGGTCAAGGGAAAACGCGTGTAAATCGGTTAAAACGTTTATTTAAAAAATCAAATTAAATTTCTTTTTCAAGTTCAATTAGTATAAAATTCAGGAAAAATATTCAGTTAGGCTTCCGCTTTTCCAAATCCGAATTGCCGGGCCTTACGCTTGACCCCTGCCATCAGATTTTGTACAGCCACCTTGTCCACCTTCTTCGCCGCAGAAAGCCAGTTTGCCTTGAACTGCTGCTCGCCCTTAGCAGTTTTTTTGGTCTTCTTTAGGTTCCGCTTGACAATAGCCCAGTATTTCTCAATTGGGCGGAGCTCTGGCGTGTTGGGAGGGTTCTTGTCCTTGGGAACCACCTGCACGTTGTTGGCGGCGTACCACTCCATGGCCTTTTTACCGTAATGGCAAGATGCCAAATCCGGCCAAAACAGTACGGAACACCCGTGTTTCTTCAGGAAAGGCAGCAGACGTTTATTCAAACACTCTTTCACGTAAATTTCTTGGTTGACAGTCCCGGAAGCTATGAAAATGCTGCTTTTCAAGCCACAGGTACAGATGGCTTGCCAAACCAGATATTTCTTTGCGAACTTTGACAGTTTCATGTGCTTGAAAACATCTGCTACCTTTCCCCTTCCTTTTGCCGTATAAAACTCCTGTCCCGGAAGCTGCTTGTAGTCGGCTTTGACGTAGGTTTCGTCGTCCATTACCACGCAGTCAAACTTCGTCAGCATCGTCGTGTACAGCCTCCAGGATCGCGCTTTGGCCGTCGTATTTTGTTTATCATCGCGATTTGGAGTCACTACCTTCTTGTAAGTCGATAGTCCGGCTCGTTTTTTGGCTCGATGCACGGTTGTAGACGATACACCCAGCTTATTTGCGGCATCTCGGAGAGAGAGGTTAGGGTTTCGCTTGAAACTACCGGCAACTCTCTTTGTCGTCTCAGCGGCTTCCGGTTTTCGATTTCCCCCCGATCCAGACTTCCTGGCTGTCGACAAACGTTCCCCAAACACTTTAATTACATTTGTAACGGTTGATTTGGCAACTTTTAGCGATTTTGCCAACTTTGCGTGCGAGTAGCTCGGATTTTCGCGATGCGCGAGCAAAATTTTGATACGCTGCTCTTCTTGCTTGGAAGGCATTTTGACAACTGAAGAGTGAATTCCAAAATCAAAATAGGAGCAACATTCTACACACACACACCTTCAAAATGAGGGGTGTTCAGGTTTTTTAAATGCAAAATTGAAAGAAATACGTCAAGTTGATATTGACCAAATTTTGACCGTATAACCCTTTAAAGAGCTTTAATCAAACCCATCTCAACTATCGAATGGAATTTGTTATATGGGATGAGAATGCGTCCTAATCAGCAAATGACGACTGTAGTTTTTTTTAAGTAATGCCAACTACTTCAACGCTGCTCATTGACGACAGACGACGTTGCGGTGCCTTGGGTGTCATTATCTATCATGTTCCTATCACCAACAGTGAAGGTTAAATTACACCACCATTAGTGTCACTATATTATATGCATGCATATCATAGCCGTGTTACAACGCACGCTAATGGCCAACAAGAAGTTTAACCTTGAAGATGGAACAATGCATTTAAGTAGGTACCAATTTGCATTGAGCAACGCCGTCACCGTTTTCGGTGACTACCCGAGCAGAGTCTGAGATCAAATCGCAAACTAAATTTGATGGTGTGATGTTTAGTCCGGTTGCTCTCGTTTTGGTCGTTTTAACGGTTATAATACCGAAATTGAGAGCAAACCATTCCTCAGTAAATATCAAATGGACTACTATAGTTCTGCTATCTATGAAAACAAAATGAGGATTGTGATTTGTGAGAAAATTTTAGCAAAATGAAAACAATATTTTATATAAATCGTAAACTGAAATCAAATTATAATTTCAATTTGATGATGATAGCAAAATTGGTTTTCATTTAGCTGTAATTTGATGCTCGACTTTTCTCGGGTAATTGTTCCTACGAGTCATTGCCACTGACTGGCAGTTATCAATTGGAAACGTAAATCGTTCAAATTCGTTACTAATACTTATATATTGACGTGGAGACTGATGATTCATTTTGTGGTCGATCGAAGACGCCTGAAGCCCAGATTTTAAGAGAAACGGCTGTCAGCAATCATGGTCAAGCGCAACAGCCTGCTACGATGAGCGTCTTGTATTACCCTGACAGCTAGGAGAAAGACGATTGAATTCAATCAAGCGCGAATGGACGAAAGGCCAGTGCCAGTGGAGAAAGATGCTTAAATGTTTTATTTGCGCGTTGAATTCAAATGATGTGAGACGTCAGCACTTGGTAAATTATATTGTGGATGCTAATCAAACACACACGAGCGTAGACTAGTGTTCAGATCACCTAAACAGCGAATTGCACAACAAACAGCAATACTCAAAGAAAAACTTTGTTATGAATCGAGAATATGAAGCAGAAAACAAGGTGAAAAAAGCTCAAAAGTCCCGCGCGGGGCGGAATATGACGTTGCCCACAAAACATAACATCGAACCAAAAGAGAAAGAGAAACTCTGTTCGTAGTAAAAACTGCATCTCGTGTGTAAAAACGAACTTACCGTCTCGCGTCTAGTTCCCACTTGGTACGTTTTCCTTTATGTGCCCCACTCCGCCTCCTTGGTACAAACAGCTGACTGTGATGTCTGTCTGTGATCTACGACTCGAGGAGGATGCTGGTTTGGATATGGACAACTGGGGACAACCACCTTCGTGCTCTTTCTCTCTCGCCTCTTTGCTGGCGCTCTTTTGTACTCTTTTCCAAAGATGAAAGCGTCGGTTTCCCGTTCCGCAATAACGGACACTCCAGTTCTCCGACCTCTCTTTGTGTTCCCGATTCGGAACAATACTATTTAGTTGTTGTTGTTGTTGTGCGGAATATCCGACGACGAGACCGCGAGAACACAAAGCTTCACTGGCACATGTTTCTCGTCGATAGGTACGGTAGGATTCTTCAAGAATGACACTTTGCACTCGAAATAAACTTTAATTTTACGACTTCCGCCGCAATTTTAGATGCACAGAGCACGCACTAGCACACACAAACACACATACACTTATCGTCGACAATTTCTGCCAGTTTAATTCGGGTAGAGCGACACGGATGCTGGGCCACCGAAAAACCCCCAATGCACGAATTTACACAATCCTGTATTCAAACGAAACCCGTTTCGTACGCCGCTGACTGTGCCCAAACACCCCCACGCCTTGATAGAGCACTACAGTGTTTCTCGGAACCGAGCCGAAACCGTGGACCTTAGCTATCGGGATGCTGACTGAGAGCCGAGAAATACGACCACGCGACCCGAGTGGATGCAAACGAATGAAAGTACGGCACGGCTCACTAGATACGAGCAGTTTGCTATCGCTGCTATGCTCCGTGTTGTTGTGATCGCTCACTTTGTTGTCGCACTCTCTGGCTGGTTTTTGGGTTTTTCTGTATGTAAATGGTTTTTGGTCCCCCCCCCCCCGTGCCATCAGTGATCTCCGCTTTCCACCCAAAAGTTGTTGTTTTGACGTTGTTGCCGAGCACTATGGTTCAATGTTCAATAGCAAACATGCTCGCTATAATGGGTATTTATTTCAATTAGGTCTGACTTGTGAAATAAAGCAATAATTGTTCAGAATTGGGCTAGTTTGAAGGATTTTTTGAAGAGAAATTCTTGGGAATTTTGTAAAGAATACTATTGGCTTAGTTCCGACGAGAATTCCATGCTAAGTCTGAAAAGAATTCCATGGGCTTTGCGAGGAGATCTTCAGGGTAGTATAAGTACATGTTTTTGACGTAGAACTACGATTTTGTGGAATATACTGGGGTACAAATCAAAAGAAATAATGTGTGACGAAATAGGTCAAGTTTTAAACGCTTACAACTTTGCCATTTATAGATGGATTTCAAATCTCATCACACCATTTGATTCAGATGTGATGTATGATTCAGTTGTAATTGCAAACTACAAACTGGAGCAGGATTTTGAATTTATATAATTACACACGCATCGATCAATAATTCAATGAATTAAAACTCAAATTTACACGACCATGTAAATTAATATTTCTGTTCTTTGAAAACGCAGATGATTTCTCTGCTATGTAAAAACACCGATGCAGATAAAATTAAATACACGTTAATGGATTATTTAATACTTTCACGTAAAATTAGAGTTGAATGGCGGTATGTTTCAACTAAGGTCAGTACCTAAATCAATGTGCCAAATGTAAATTTACAAAATTGTCGCTGTGTACTTTATCATTAGTAAACTATTGAAAATATATCAAACTTCCCAACAAACAATTCAGAGTCACAAATAAGCATATATATTGAAAAAAAATGCTGTATTACAGTGTACAATGCTGAATAAAACGAGTCGTCGAATTTTGTGCTGAAAAAAAGTCCATAGAAATCGATAGATGCATCTTTATTCCGCTGTTTGCTTTGATCTGATTATTTGACACTTATTAAAAGCTTTATCATTGGCTGTCTTCCTGATTTAACACCAGAAGTTTGCTCTAAAAATAAACTAAATAAATGTAATTTGCACATTCATTGATGATGATGCTATGGAACTACCACTCACTGTACACACTTAGAAAAAATCACCGACTTCGGTAATTCATTTACCGAATTCTCAAAAGCTGAACGGTCGGTAATGTTTTCGGTAATCGAGAACATTACCGAAAAATCTGTAAACTGGATCAGCAAAATTAGCTGTCAAATTTACCGAACGATCGGTAACGTTTACCGATGTGCATTGCTTGATTTGTAGTCGACTTTACCGGAGAACTGTAATTTTGAGGACGATATGCAAATCGAAAATTACCGAGAGATTTGTAATTTTCTAAAAAGGTAACCGACTCAACTGTAATTTTCTTTAATATTGTTTCATGGTGGCGGTCACTGCAACCCATGCAAAAATTTGGCTGTTGTCGTGATCAATAAGTTAGTGTTGCAAATTGCACCACCAATGAACAAAACCAAGTTTTTGTCGGAAGGATTGGGCGCTACACTGAAAACAAGGAAGCTTTGGAAGAATATTCCAAATGCTGTTTTCAGATCGTCGCCAACGGGAATGGAACTTGGACCGACAGAAAAAACAAGCAACAACATCGGCCATCTGTAATCGCTATTTATTTAGATAACGAAAATTAATTATTTACGGAAAATATCTACGATTCACTCATTTTGGTGTTGAATAACAGCTTCCATAATTTCACCTTCTTGTTTTTCACAAGCACGAACGCTTTTAAAGTCGATCGAAAATAACAATAATTAATTAATTGATTTATCTTTATTAGGGAGGCTTTCAGCCTGGGGCTGGTTCGCCTCCAAAATAAAAATATGGTGGATTTGACGTTTACCTAGACCATTACCGAACTCAGTAATGGAACGCTTTGTTTACCGAAAATTCAGTAAAATATTTCACCGAAGTCAGTGATGAGGCTGATTAAAGACCTGCCGGTAAAAATGGTTACCGTTTTCGGTAAATTAAAATGAAATTACCGAAATTCGGTCATTTCATTTACAGTTTTCAGCAATAAAGCGAGAAAATACCGAAACATCTGTAATTTTCAGCATTACCGATCTAAGACGGTAATTTTTTTTTACCGAACTCAGGGTCTCTGTTTAAGTGTGTAGCAAGACAACTGTCGATATACTGTGGACTCTCTTCACTGTTCCGGATAAATGAGAATCTCCTTCCAACAACTGGGTCATACAACCGGTCAAAACATACGCCATCCAATAGGAGTCTTCTCCCAATGAATGGGGAGAAGAGCCCGCCCTCTTTTCACGAAATGTTAAAGACAGGGAGTTGTCATTTCCCCTCTCCTCATCCATTTTGCTAATAGTGACCATGGCACACTTCGATTGCATTTCTGAAACACAACTCTAACGCACAAACACGCCGACGACAACATTCGTCAAGCACCTTTCGTCCGGGAAGTAGAACTGCAGCACGCACCAAGCAAAGGGAAGACAAATGCACACACAGAGCATGGCAGGAGCTGAACTGGTGCCGTTGAAAGCCTAACGCGAACTGATGTAATTGGCACATTCATTGACGCTTTAATTCGATTGTTTTCAATTGATTTAATAACATGCTCTATTTATCTAATAAATGTTTTCTAGCTCCATTGTTAGATGTCATGGCATTGCATTACAATATTGCTGAATAAAGGTGGTTCAGCCTAACAATCACCCCTATTCTGTATTTCGTTTCGAACGAAATTCTCATGCAAAAAAATATTTTTTTGTATGAGAATTTCGTTCGAAACGAAATACAGAATAGGGGTGAATAAGACGTAATTAGTAGAATAGTGGTTACCATTTCTGCTTTCCAAGTAGAAGGTCGTGACACAGACAAACAGACATAACTCTTGCAACCGCATCCTTCCCAAGCAACACGCATGTTCGATAACAGTTTACATAACCTTTGTATGACTGGTTTTGGTTGTATAGCAGTTTACTCAACCTCATTCTATGAATTTATGTTACTTGGGTTCGTACGCCCTAAAAGTCATTTCAAATTAGTTGGGAATGTGGCCGCTTTTGGCATAATGGTGCCACTGAAGTACTCAACTAATCATAATAATTCGAACTGTCATCATATACATACAGTTATAGGGAAAAAAGACCACTGAACCTTTACACAAAACCTTATACAAAAATGACCCTTTGAAAAATTTGGGCGTAATAGAACTTGATTTAGAGGTTGGAACAGAGTTGAAGTTAAATCTTTTTTTCATTTCGAAAATTTCACAAGGGTGATCGAAAAACATGTCTTGAAAATGCATGGAAAATCTAGTATCATGGACTTTGAAAATTCATTACTTTTGTATAATTGAACCGATTTTCGATCTTGCTCCTGCAGATGGAAGGTATATGAAAGGAATATCTAGAAAATAAAAAGTGAACTGCACAGCAAATAAGATTTTACACACTAAAATAAAAAAAAATCTTTCCATTTTCTTAGTTTTAACAGCCCATTCGCTTTAGATGCATATTCGCTGTTTATAAAGACATCTTGAATTCCAAAATGGCGGCGGATATCGATTTTCCACTTCTACTCATCGAACCTATTCCATAGATACCCATATTGCATGTGTTTAGATGCATATTAGACTGATGCCAAATTTGAAATTTTCGCTCCACAGTGCTCAAACGGTTCTAATTTGGGCCCTGATAAGCCTCCCAAAATTAGAACTCATTTAGTGAGAAACTGACTTGGCACAAACCATTTGAAGTTTATATGGGAAATACTATGGAGAAATCATAATTTCGGTTCATATCTATTTCAAAATTCACCAGTTTACTCTACTTTAAAAAATGATAGCGGAGCTTGTTGAAAATTTTCTCAGCTATAACTTTGTTGAAGACCACTTTCGATCAAATGTAAGGAACAAAAGTTATTATTGATGCTGATGTCTTATGATTATGCTCAATCAACTGTTAAGCAGGCAACATTGGTGTTTATGGCGCGTAGAATAGAGGACAAAAATCTTGGCTACTATGTCACTCTGCAGAATACAGTGTTGCCCACAATACAGCTGCTTAATCTTGCCATAAGATTATCAATCTTTTAAACAATTAATAACTATTTAATTTGACGTTTGACTGAAAAACAATTTTCTGCAAAGCTGTAGCTGATAAAAATTCCCATAAGAATGGCAATAGAATTTGTTAACAGTACAATACGTAAAAAAGCTAAAAGAAAATGAACAAAAAGTTTTGTTTTCCCATAGTAATTTCCATATAAACTTCAAATGGTTTGTGCCAAGTCAGTTTCTTATCAAATGAGTTTAAACTTTTGGAGGCTAATCAGGACCCGATTTGAAACCGTTTGAACACCGTGGAGCGAAAATTTCAAATTTTGCATCAGTCTAATGCATATACGCTGTCCGGAGGCCGCCATATTGGATTCCAAAATGGCGGCGGATGTTGATTTGCCACTTCAACTCATCGAGCCCATTCCATAGATACCCATTATGCATGGATTTAGATGCATATACGCTGTTTAGGTACCGCCATATTGGATTTTGGTCCACCATATTGGATTCCAAAATGGCGGCGGATGTCGATTTTTCACTTCAACTCATCTGTAGGGTCAAAGCCCTCGTCGTAGTTCTATGGAATCGCACAGCTCTAGCAAAGTGGCAACCCTGAAGGAGATGGCAGCACGGGAAGAGGAGAACAATGATAGACGGTGAGTGAGTAGGTTCACATTGTTGAGGAAGCAGAATAAATACAGTGTATCAATTGAATAAATAGTTGTTTTAAATCAAGTCCGAACCCTACAAATTGGCGACG